CGAGGCTTCACCACCCATTTATCCCTCCGCCTTTCAACCAGCACCACATGTGATTATCGGCCAGGCTGGCACAATTAACTAACTCAATGGCCTCATCTTTCTCTCGAGTTGGGCTTGTGGGTTTGGTGACGGCCAGCAAGTTCTTAGCCACTGTGCCCTGGCTCTTGCCGTACGCAGTGCAGGCAAACGACAACAGAACCACGCGAGGCCATGCAGTCAAAACCACTGATTCCACGTGGCTCCGTAATTGGGTGATAATGGTAGCGCTGACCTGAACTCATTAAATTCCAGCCCAGTCCACTGTCATCCAGTTGATTGACTTGTAGCAGCCCTGCACCGTGTTTCCAATACTCACTCCTTGTGGGTGCCTCGTCTGTCTCCTGGGAGTGGCTGGTTGGCTTGAACCACGGGCCTTGTGGTTAGCAGCCCAACCTGACTGCCCCTGTGAGAAGGTTCAAAAAGTGAATGGGCACAGGGTTTTGCGGGCCTGTTGGTGCACACAGCTGGGCGTGTGCAGAATGTGCTAGTTGTTATCACCGACTGTAGGGGGATCTTTGTACAAAGTAATTGCTGCTGAGACACTGTGCCGAACACTGTCACCCCCACTGATGGCCAACCAGGCCCATCGGTGCCCCTGCTAGGGATGCTCCTGCCGGCCCACCCTAAATCTGCACACTCTTGTGTCACAGCCCCTCCCCTGACTGCAGGGGGCGGCGCTGTGCCTCTGCCGCTCAGTCAGAAGGCTGAGTGCTGTCTGTGTAGGGACAGACAGATTGACCACGTCCTCATCCCCCTTCTTTGTCCTTCTGTGTTTCAGAAAGAAAGAGCTCTTGAACACCAAGAAGGACCGTGTGAGCCATTGTCTGACGATCTGTGAGAACATCGTGGCGCAGTCCCTCAGGTAACCACACTGGCGTGCGCTAGTCCCCAGCCTCTGTCTGCATTTCCAGTCCCAGGGGCTGGATGCTCTGCCCGTCCTCATTTGTCTTCAGACCATTAGTCAGAAATCCACGTCCCAGATGGCTGACTCTGTCAAGCATACGCCGACATGCCAGTGAGTCATGTCTCCTCCGGGAAACGCATGTGCAACTCTTGTGACCATGATGCCGCCGCCGCTGCCGTTCCAACAGTGTGTTGTGGTGCATTAGCCCTGTAACGGAGTCTTCACTTAGAGACCCTTTCTGTGGGGCACCTTGGCGGTTCTTGGCCCTCCCTACTGGAGCACTGCGTGACCTTGAAGTGTAGCGTATCTCTTACTCATTCCTGTGGCCATGAAGGCTGGGATCGCCCCCCTGTCGGGGGGTGGGGAGTGTCTGTGCTCCCAGGGCGCTAGAGCCTGCTCTTCTGCTGGGGGGAAAGTGGGGCCTGGGCAGTGCCCTGGAGCTCTGCTCCCCTTTCTGGCCCTTCCTTCCTGTGTGAACCAGACGTGCCTTCACAACTCCCTGACTCTCCTGGTTCCACACTGGACCCGGGGCCGGTCAGCTTCTGGTGATTGCTGTCGCTCGTGGCTGGCGTAGCGGACGTAGCAGGACGGTTCTGAGTGCTCTCCCGAAGCTCTGAGTGCTCGGCACACGTGCTCTCCTCGCCTCTCCCGTGGAGTAGCTCACGCACGTTCCTCTCCTGCTGCACTCTGGTGCTGGAAGCCGAGAGCGCTCCGTCCGTATCCGTACGGCTGTTAGGAGAAAACTCTTAGAAAAATCATCTTTGAGCACTTTGGGAGAGGCGCAGAGTTTCTGCATTTGTAATTCATATTCTCCAATGAATATGAATATTCATATTCTCCAAGGTGACTTCCTTCGTGACTTGGCTTTAGTCCACGCCCTTCCCGCGTTCGTGAGATGGGGCCGCGTGGTTTTGTCTAACGTGGAGGAATGTCAGGGGGAGCAGAGTGAGGCAGTGAGTCACTCTGTGTCCTGAAAGTGAAACCCAGCATTCTAAGGTAGCATGCTCTTGTAGGCACGTCCGGGCTAAAAGTAAGGTAGAAACAGATAGATCCGAACGTTGCCGCACTTCCCTTCCCTGGACTTCCACGTGGAGTGATTTTCAGGGAGGTCTCCCTTCTTTGAGCCTCTGATGTTTCCTTGGGAAATGTACCCCCAGGGTAGAGGGCTTCTCTGAGATCAAGTGGTGCAGGCAGAGCCACACAGACGCCTTCAGTAGCTTCCTGCCAGCAAGGCGTGTGTCTTGTGGTGGTGCCCCTTGTCCAGTGAGCGGTTTTCCCTCCGGAATAAGCGTGTGATTCCCTGCTGCGGTAGCACCGCTGATCCCCACCATCGGTATCTCTGGGACCAGTATTTTACTCTGCAGCTCAATGGAGAACCTAGAGACAGTAACATCTCCGTTTGTTGTACTTGTCGGCACAGCGCTCTAGGTAATTAAGAATTTGGTACCGTGCATTGGGGCGGATTCTCTAATAAATATCTGAAGTTGGCACAATGGATGTAGTATGTTTGGATTGTGATAAGAGTGGTACGAGCCCCCGGTAAAATTATTTAAAAAAAATAAGTTTGGTAAGGGTTTTGGAATTGGGTGGGGGAAGAACTTACTGCCATTGAGTGGATTCCCCCTCGGAGCTGCCCCGTAGGTCGGAGAACTGCCCCATGGGTGTCTGAGGCGAGAGCAGAAAGCTTCCTCTTTCTCCCGCGGAGCGGCTGGTGGGCTTGATGCCTGACCTAGTGATTAGCTGCCCAGAGTGGAACCAAAGAAGCGTCCGCGCAGTCAGTCAGCGCCTGAAGGTTTCAGTGGCATGCAGACGGAAATCAGGAGAGGGGCTTCACAAGAGTTCCAGCCATCCTGCAGAATGATGCTGGTGGGGTTGGCAGTCCCCTCGTGGCCTAGGCCCTCCCGGTGTCCCTGAGCTGGGCACATGCCCTGCACCCGTGTTGGTACACATTCGCAAACCAAATTCCGCAAGGACTCCTGCTCGCCCATGCTTTCCCTCAGGCCGTCATTCTGTTCTGGAATCCCGTCCAAGGGGCCGCATGACATTCGGCCATCCCGTCTCCTTAAACTGGCCTTGCCTGTGACCATGACCCCCCATCCCCCTTTAAAGCAGAAATTCGCCGGAATTTCAGAAGCTCCTGGGCATCGCTGTGGAACTCTTCCTGCTGTGCAGTGATGACGCGGAGTCGGATGTCCGGATGGTGGCCGATGAGTGTCTCAACAAAGTGATCAAGGTAAGAGCCTCCAGGTCGGGCTGGCCGGCCTGCTGCCGGCCTGTTTCCAGCCTCAGAAAAGAAGCCATGTGTGGCAGCTTTGCCTTCTGAGTCACAGACCCCCTTCATGAGTGACCGCGTTGTAGGCTGACCGTGTGTGGGCTGGGGGGCGGGGGGGTGTCAGGGACCTGCCAGGTGCTGGTCTTCCAGGCCTATGAAGCTGCCTTCTAAGGGACAGACCTTGGTTCCTATCATAACTGCACAGTGCCTGGCTCATTGGGGGTGCTCCGGGGAGACCCTACCTGCAGGCATCAGTGGAGCTGCCCTGGGAAGGAGGGGTTTGGTCTGGCTGAGGCCTCTCCTCCCTCGGCTGACCTGCCACAGGCAGGTAAAGATGTGGCTGCTTCACCTGGAAGCTGAGCCAGAGTGAGTGAGTGTGAAGGGCATTGGTGGAGGAAAATGCTCCCAGAAAAGGATAATGAAGCCAGAAACCCGGAGCCGTTTGGGTAGTGGGGGTGGCTGGGGGGGTCAGGAGAGAAGGATACACAATCTTGGGGGTCCTCTGCTGCCTGATTGAGAGCGGGTGCTCCGTTCAGTCCCCGTGACCCCTCTGCGTCTGCTGCTTTAGCTGCCTTCATGACACAGTTTACTTCAGGCGTAGCTCCTCAGTGCGACAGAAAACCTTCCCTGTCACCGGCTGTTCTCCTCCTTGCCCATGTCCCCATCCCACCCTGCTCCCCTCGGGCACCATTGCGTCTGCGATGGGTCCTCTGAGTGGCTGTTCTGTCTGGCTTCAGCTCTGTTTTCCCAGCCCTGAGAAGCGCTCCCCGATGAGCCTTCTCCAGGGCTTTCCTGGCCATGACTCAGGAGTGTGGCCTTCCGTGCTTGGCAGGTAGCCTGACTGTTGGGTCTCCCCCCTGCCACGTGGAGGACCAGCCCTTTGAGGAGAGGGGGCATCTCTTCATCTCCCTGGAAGACTACCTGTCCTACATCTCGGGGTCATGGGGAGCCAGCTGCCTTTGAGGGTAGTTAGGTTTTACACGAGGCAAGACACGAGCCGGCCCTTCCTTAGGTCGCTGCTTGCCGGCCCTTTTCTCCCACGGGCGAGGGAGCTCCAGTTGTATGGGCCAGTCTGGATGACTGGACCTCCTTCTGGGCATGAGCCCCTTACTCGCTGAGTGCTTGTGGGGTGTGTCTGAGGAGGGGCATGCGGAGTGAGGCAGTCTTCCTTGTGGCGGGTGAGGCCACAGCACGGGTGGACACCCCCCACCCCCCTTCCTGGGCCCGCTCCTGGCCATTCCAGCAGAGCGTCTAGCCTTCTGTGATTGGTGCTGGCCACAGCCAGCCCTGTAGCCACGTGGCTTCTGCTGTTGTGGCTGCCTGTGCATGCCTTGTACTGCTGGGCCCTGGCCTGAGTCCGGTTGCCCTGTTGCCTGGCCATGGTCCCTGTGCCAGGCTCTCCCTTGGGAGCCGCCTCTGCAGGTTGGAGCCTTCCGGCAGGACCTGCCCCACTGCTTCTGCTCTCAGCCCTTGGACTTGGTCCCTCGAACCGGAAACTTGAGTGTGGCCCACGTCAGGCTGACTTCACAGTGACAGAAGGCCGGCAGGGTCAGCGCTGCCCTCGTGGAGCCCTGTGTCTACGCCTGCTGGACAGAAGAGTGGCGGCTGCGCAAGGACCATGGCTCTCCACCTCGTCCTGTCCCCTTGTCTATCCCCATTTCCTTTCAGTGTGCTGACACTGCACACCAGGCTGTACCCTCGCTTCCACGGCTGTCGATGCGGTCCTGGTCGGTGGGGCTGAGGGTCTGCGAGGCCTCCCACGGTGGCAGAGGGAAGGAGAGGCGGGGAGGAAGGGGGTGGAGCTGGAGAAGTCCTCAGCCTAGGCTGTGTGTGAGGGAGCCCGCGCAGCATTGCGCCCAGGAGCTGCGACTCCGGGTGCTCTGTGGATGCTTGTGCTATGTGGGTGTGCGCACATAGGCTGTTTGTGCAGTCTGTGTATCGTAGGCTGTGTGCGTGCGTACTCTGTATGCCTGTGTCCTGTGTGTGTGCGTGAGATTGTGCCTCAAGCGTGCCCCTGGCATGGCAGTCACAGTCAGGAAACACCTGTGGTGTGTCCAGTTATTGATGGAAACCTCAGCTTTCGCCGTCAGAACTTAGAGAATAAAGAGAAGGAAACAACCGAAAACGATAGAGGGAAAGGAAGTATTCTTGGGACTGGGGGCCACAGCGAATGTAGAAGCCCCGTGCTGTGGGCAACATACTTCCTGGACCACTGTCTGCTGTGGTGCCCCACCCCCACCCCCAGGGGGACCAGTGTCCTGTGGAGTGGTGGCACCACCGCAGGTCTCAGAGGAGGTCCGGAATGCGTCCGCATTGCCTAAGGCTGCAACGCTGCTAGCACGGTGTATTGGTTCATGTTGGAAATGACACTCTCCCGGTGTCCCGAGCTCCTCAAGGATGGACTCGTCTCTCGTCCGCCCACACCGTCCTGCCCCCAGCCTCTGTGCCCGGTCTGCCGTGGAGTGCTGACGCTCGTGCTCTCCCGCAGGCGCTGATGGACTCGAACCTGCCACGCTTGCAGCTGGAGCTCTACAAGGAGATTAAGAAGGTAGGCCTGCCCGCCCCTTGGCTGGTGGCAACCGTGCTGTCACGGGGTGTGCCCCTGATGTCTGCAGGGCCAGGAGCAGGTGCTGTGTGCTGGACCGTCGTCCTGCTTTTCCCTGGAAGGTCGCCGTGTCGTTGATGACCAGACAGGGTGGGGTTAAAAGTGGATGCTCACTTTACTCCTTGCCGCTCTCTCATGGGAGGGGAACCTGGTGGCTCAGTGGGCTAAACATTGGACTGCTAGCTGGAAGCCAGCCGTGTGAACCCCCAGCCACCACGAGGGAGAGAGGAGGCCATCTGCTTGCGTGAGATGTTCAGCTTTGGGAGCCTGTGGGGCGTTTCCACTCTGCCCACAGGGTCGACTTGAGAATCAGTCACGTGCGGTGGTCTGGTTTTGGAAGAACCACTGCCATCCAGTCGATTCTGACTCCCAGGAAGCCTGTGTAAGGCCTTCCCTGTGGGGAACGGCCCGGTGGGCTTGACCTTGACCTTGTAGTTAACAGCCCAGCACCTCACTGACGGCCACCGGGCAGGCCTTTTGAGTGTAGACCTTAGCGTACCCTCTGTTGTCTGTTGAAATGGCCTTTTCCCTACAAGGAACCATTAACTGTCTGAAAACATGTATAGAGAGAGTGTGCCCTGGCTTCTGCGCTGCCCACCTGCCCTCCCTCCCTCCCTGCCTGTCTGACTGAACCCCCTCACTCTGACTCGTCCCACAGAATGGCGCCCCGCGGAGTCTGCGTGCTGCGCTCTGGAGGTTTGCAGAGCTCGCTCACCTGGTCCGGCCGCAGAAATGCAGGTACGCTACCCAGCGCCGGGGCCCTCCTGCCACCTCTCAGCGGAGTCCCTGCTGCGCTCCCCCGGGCTGTGTAACTGCACGTCTTGGTGGCAGGCCTCGTCCCCGGCAGTTCTCCTGAAGCCCAGCTCCCAGCCAGGTCTGGCTCCTGGTAGCTGCTTCGAAGGCACGCACCAGGTGGTTGAAGGCGGGGGTTGCAGCTTCGTTGTGCTGCCGTTAGAGATCGTAGAAATCCACACCTATCCCTGGTCAGCATTAAACTGCACTACTGGGGCCATCGCCTGTGGTCAGGTCGCCGGGCCTCCATTGTTGGCTGATCCCTGAGCAGCAGTGATGGCCTGCCCTTCCTTGTTCACACTGTGCAGGGGTTCAGCCCAGGGAGCGTCAGCGTCCGTGAAACCCTCCCGTGGCAGCCGGG